TGCTGAATTGATGAAAAGGTAATAAAAATAACCACTGAATAAAATTCAAATTAAAAAAAAAAAGAAAACAAAAAAACCAAAAAAAAAAACAGTTACGTCGATTCTAGATAAAAACAAAACAATGGCAAGCAGTTTAATCTTGAAATATCCGTGCGTCAGTTGCATCTTATTTCGGAAAATGGGGGGTTGGATGGTTAGCACGTGCACGTTGTATCAGAAGGTATGTCATTGAATTAACTGGCGTGGTTTCGAATTCCCGGTTGTTCGCGACAAGGGCCGTCTATATTAGCCCAGTATAGGAGCAGAACAGTAGGACGTTAAACCCCATTTCACTCCATGACAAGGAGTAGGGTCGCCTGTCCAACCTCGTAGGATCGCCCCACAACTAAAGACCCCTACGCGCAAGCGAATTATTGAAATAAAATTGAACCATGCGGTAGTCCCAAAATGACCTAGTTTGTGTCGAGTGGACGTTGAACCACATCTCTCTCTCTTTCTTCTAGAGTGTCTTATATTCACCGATGTTATCCTGTTATGCCATTATATAGGAATATATTTTCTTTTTCAAAAACCAGAGACAGTACGCTTGACGTGATTTAATAGAAATAAAAATGTTATTATAACATTGTTGATGTAAGTTACTGCACTTTTTGACATAGCAACAATAGAAAATCAAACTATGAAATATTCATACAAGCTTGGTTTGTCTTTGTATGATATTTATCACGAATGTTTTAGGATAATAATACATAGCAACAATATACATAACCCTATAGACTATAATAATACATAGCAACAATACAAATACCAATTATATAATATTTATTATTCATAGCAGCGTGTTTTGCATTGGTATGTCATATGAACTCAGCATCATCGAATCTGATTAAAATATAGATCTATATTTCGTTTCGTTTTTTTTTTGTACTTTCGATGGCCTACACTACACGAAGATCTGACTGATTGTACTGGAGGGTGGCGTCAGGGTCGTACGAGCGGCTTTTGACCCTATGACGTGAGATATTGATTATTGATTAACGTTTCTAGTGGTGTACCCACAGTTCCGTGCATTGCACGCCAAGAAGTCACTGTGACAGATGGCAAGTTATATAACAACTCTTGCAGATCCTAGTGTAGTACCGACAAATAAAACGAAATTTTGAACTATAAAAAACGAAACGAAATAGGATCTGTATTTTAATCAGGTTGAGCATAACCTTGCATTTATAAAAAAAAACCCGATAAAGAAATGGGGTTTAATGTCCACTCGACACAAACTATTTCATTTCAGGACTAACATATGGTTTAATTTTATTTCCATTATTCGCTTGCGCGTAGGGGTCTTTAGCAGTGGGAGGAAACTGGAGGACCCGGAGAAAACCCACGAACGTACAACCGGGGAATCGAAACCACGCCACTTAGCTCAATGACAGACTTTATGATACAGCGCGCTAACCATTCAGCCATCCAACCCCCATAAAAAAACGAACACATTTTTTTTGTAGCTGTAAAAATGCCTTTTCTTCAAACAAAATATATAAATTATTAATTTGTGCGACTGGGCCGTTTGAAAGGTTATGTGTAAATATCTAATCATGACGTTGAATGAAATTTTTGAGTTACAATCAAATAGCTGCCAAATTATCAACCATGTGCATTGATCGTTTATCGCTAAAATTAAATCAAGCCGAAGATAGTGAAACTCATGGTGAGATGTTATCGCTAGAGTTTAATCATGATAAATGTTGTGAAACTGATTGGGATTTTATAATAACTGAATATAAAGGATGTTATGCTGGTTACTATGGAAGCGTGTTGTGTTTTCAGGGAGCCACGGTGGCTAAGTGGGTAAGACGCTGGGCCGCTAGCCTGGAGGTCGGGTGTTCGATCCCTGAATTGGTCATGAAAGTTTATCGCGATTTTAGGACGGAGGGTCTGACAAAGACAGCTGTTTGGTCGTTCGGATGGGACGAAAAACCGAAGCACCTTGTATACATTGGCATGCACGTAAAAGATCCCTTGGCAGTTGGAATTCGATAGGCCATGGTGCTGCTGCCCGGGAAAAATTTCCCTCATAGCACACTGTATGGTATTTATTAGCCCGGCAAGAGCAGAACAGTAGGACGTTAAATTTCATTTCATTTCATTTCCGTATTGTGTTTTGAGGTTTAAAATCATATGTAGACATATTGCCTTATTAAACATACATTATGACGTCACATTAATAATGATGTCATTGCTATAATCATATTAAACATACATTATGCAAGAGCTAAATCTGTCTATTGCAGGTTTTTCTTTAGGCCTGAAATGTTTTCTAAATTATTAATTAGACATTAATTAACTTATTCAGGCCATAATCAACTCTCGATGGCATCGGATTTCTCCGATATTAAATAGATTAGAATAGTTCAGCCCTATGTTGGTTTAATCTAAAAATGGAGGAGCGAGGCTTAGCTTCGAACAACCAGTACGGTGGTTGAAATTATTGCACACGTCTTGTCATATCTTCATTCGAAATAGAGTAATTTGAATAAAATTTTCAAATTATTCATTTTACATTATCTATTTTCGAACTATTATAGCAAGAAAGGCTAGCTCTTTATCTAAATCTTACATAAAGTATCTTTAATATCGCGATATCTTTCGCGCTATTTACCCCTATACTCTTCCGTAGGTTACAGATGTATTATTTAAGAGCTCAATTTGCAGATCTGTCCTCATTATGAAGAGATAACACAATTTCAAATACCGAGAAATATCTGATAGAATTACACCTCCACATCAATAAATTACTAAATCAATTTCAATTTAAAAATCAATAAATATCAAGAAATTTTATAACCTATTTAACAACTGTCAAATGGTCCTGTCATTACGGCAAAATAAATGCTGCGAATTCGAAAACACACGAGTATAATATAGCGGTAATTACTTTACTATCAATCCCTACAGCTCTATAATTATTGTATCCGGCATGAGCATGGATATAGGTCAACAAATGATCCTGGAGGTCACCGCTTGGTAACGTATTAATAAGACGGTAAAAATGTTCACCGTCTGGTAAGGTGGTAAAAACGGTCACCGTCTGGTAACGTCTGGTAACGTATTATTAAGATGGTAACGTATTATTAAGATGGTAAAAATGGCCACCGTCTGGTAACGTATTATTAAGATGGTAAAATGGTCACCGTCTGGTAATGTATTATTAAGGTGGTAAAAGTGTTCACCGTCTGGTAACGTGTTATTAAGATGGTAAAAACGGTCACCGTCTGGTAACGTCTGGTAACGTATTATTAAGATGGTAACGTATTATTAAGATGGTAAAAATGGTCACCGTCTGGTAACGTATTATTAAGATGGTAAAAATGTTCACCGCCTGGTAACGTAGGCTATTATTAAGACGGTAAAAATGTTCACCGTATGGTAAAAATGTTCACCGTATGGTAAAAATGGTCACCGTATGGCAAAAATGGTCACCGTCTGGTAACGTATTATTCAGATGGTAAAAATGTTCACCGTCTGGTAACGTATTATTAAAACCTTAAAAATGGCCCTGTCTCCAAATGGTCCTGCTAACAAATGATCAAGATGTCACGTAGGTCACCAATTGGCCCTGGTAAATTATTATCAATACATTAAAAATGGTCCTGTAGGACTGCGGGCTACCAAATGACCCTGGTAACGTATTAGTTAAACGTTAAAACTGGTCCTTTAGTTCATCAAATGATCCTGGTTAACGTATTATCAAGATATCAAAAATGCCAAATGATAATCGGGGCCGTAACTAGCTCAGAGGAACCCGGTTTAGGGGGTGTTTTCAGGGGTGGTGTAAAATGAACGGACAATGTATATCAATTTTTTTCATGGACGAACATTTTTTCACAGGGGGGGGGGGGGGGATTTTTGCACATAATAGTTTCGTTATAGTGATCACCAATCGAGATATAATACTCCATTTTACATACAGTGTACGTGAAGGTACAAACAGGAAGGCGAAATCGAGATAAAAGTACACCCAATATTGAAGTGTAGTATCATTCCGGAAGAAATAGATAGATGCCTAGGGGTTTAATAGCAACACAAACTATGGCATTCTGGGACTAACATATGATACAATTTTATTTCAATAATTTGGAAAAGGCAAATAAAAACTCCATGATCAAAGAGAGAGAGGGGGTTTAACTGTCACTCGACACAAATCATTGCGAGTAGGGGTCTTTAGCAGTGGGAGAAAACCGGAGGACCCGGAGAAAACTCACGAGGTTGGATGGGTGATCTTACTACTTGTCACGTACAACCAGGGAATCGAAACCAGGCCAGTTGACAGAATCAATGACATACCCTCCTTGATCAACTAAGAATGGCAAGACAGTTGGAACCTAGCATATAAAGCTATCTACTGTGTAGGTCATGGTTGTTATAATCTAGTACAGACCTATAGATTTCTTTCTATTTGTTTTTAGTTTTCAAGGGCCATATAACCCATACAGTACTTACGCTCCAAAACTAGCTCAGCTTCAGAACAGACACTAAGCTAGATGACCGACATTTTAATTCCTAATTCGACAATATAAGCCGAAACCACCCAGTATTCTTCTCGAATTTTGAGAATTTTATATTAATAAAATAGAAAAGGCTTATTTAGTCACTATGTGTAGAACCTCATTACAAACATAGTATACTAATTATTAGATATGGTGGTCATTCAGGCCAGAGATCTATTCTCGAAGTAGCTAGGTGTCTATGTACAGAATGTCCAATAACCATTCCATGGAATTACGAGCAGGTGCGCGATATCGTCTAGGAGAAAATGACAAATTATACAGCCCGTGTATAATAGCTCTTACAGATGACAACATACTTAAATCGATTCGATTATAAATACCTCATGACAACTAAACGACATTTCTCGCTTTCTCTCTCTCTATATATATATATACATCGGACTTTTTGTTTTTGGATCAGATAGATAGTATTACAGCTGTCGTAGGACGAGACAGATTTGATGATTTTTATTCCCTTTGCTATCAACACGAAGCAAATCGGATATTACATGTAAATTGGTGAACTGCGCCATGTCTTTCATCAGCGGGATTAAACCATAGCAGTCGGTTTAACCATCTATAGCGGAATTCATACAATATGGCTCTTAGCAGAGAGTGGCTTACGAGTGGCGTGTCTTGTGTACACGGAATTTGGTAAGTACATTAAAATGATGACTATCGTCTTTACTGTTGTGTGGAATTAAAATTTCTGTAGTGGTCTCCTCTTGTCAGTGGTCCAGAACCCGAGGACCTGACTTAAGACGGGTTCCGCGGTTGTACGTGACAAGGAGGATAGGGTCGTCTGTCCAACCTTATGGGTTTTCTCCGGGTAATCCGGTTTCCTCCCACTGCTAAAGATCCCTGCGCGCAAGCAAATTATTGAAATAAAACTGAACCATATGTTAGTCCCGGAATGACCTAGTTTGTGTCGAGTGGACGTTACAAGAACAGTGTCTAGTCGTTCGAATTGTACAAAAAATGCAGGTCCCGTACACGTACAACAAACCGTGGATTATGAAATAAAGAGTAGGTCATACTGAAACTGTCCGGGCCAAAGTTCTTTCACAGCACACAGTATGGCGTAAGCCCATCTCCATTAGCCCAGTATGGCTGAACAGTAGGACGTTAAACCCCATTCGAATTAAAAAGAAGAAAACTGGTTGATGATTCTTTTTTTTGTAATAGCTTTGCTTACTGTTTATTCTCGAAAGGGGTGTGGTGGCCGAGTCGTTTAACACGTGCGCATGAGATCATAAGGTATGTCACTGAGACAAGTGACCTTCTTTCGATTCCCCGCGAGTAGGGTCGCCTGTTCAATGTGTGTCAATCATTTTTGCAGTAATTTGACTTTAATGGAAAATTGTTGTACACAAAGCTGGGATCGAAACCACGCCACTTGAATGAATGATTGACCTTATGATCTAAAGCGCACACATTCGACCACCCCATTGTCAATAGTCCAGCTGGAAAATGAATGCATGTAGGAGGTTATCGCTCTAAAAGAGTTAGCAGGATTCAACAAACGTCAGGCTTCTCCAGAAATAGACGAAAAGCAAATCAATACTTTTAAACTGGTACGTCCACTCGACTTAAACTAGGTCATTTCGGGACTAACATATGGTTCAATTTTATTTCAATAATTCGTTTGCGCGTAGGGGTCTTTAGCAGTGGTAAGAAACCGGAGGATACGCAGAAAACAACCCAATCCCCCAATTTTGTTCACAAATATTGTTATGTTTTACCGTCTTCGTTTGTCAAGTTGTTGGTGCATAAGTGTCGGACGTTAAACCCCATCTTATTGAATTTATATTGTAAGATGGGGATAGAGAAATAGAATTTAACGTCCACTCGGCACAAGCTAGGTCATTTCTGGACTAACATATGGTTCAATTTTATTTCAATAATTCGGTTGCACGTAGGAGTCTGTAGCAGCGGGGTGAAACCTAAGGACCGGGAGGAAATAGCGGGGAATCGACACCGCCCCAGCAGACCTTATGAACTAAAGGACACGTGTAAAACCATTCGCCCCCCCCCCCCCCAATATCATTTAAAAATTAATTATTGATCAAATGACTATTTGTAATGTTCTAAACGACTTTTAACATTTTAATTAAAAGCAAGAAGAGGAAATCGATACAAAGACAAAGATCAGAAATTGAGATCTTTTTGTTTGATTGTAGTTTAAAATTTATTTACTCTGAATTAGTATTTCATTTCTAGATCAAACCACTTTGTTTCATAAACAAAAATTTGTATATAGTTTTAACTGATGCGTTTTATATTTAATCAGGGGCGTGGTGGGGACTTTAATGCATTGCTTGAGTGGGATTTCAATGGAGTGGCACAAATAGTAAGGGATTGGAGGAGAGGGTTTGGGTTGGAGGGCGTCACTCGCCGATAAATGTAGTTCTGGGGGGAGGGGGTAGCGCGTGCGCGTTGTATCATAAAGTCTGTCATTGAGTCAACTGGCGCGGTTTTGATTCCCCGGGTGTACGTGACAAGGAGTGGGGTGCTCCAGTAACCTCCCACTGCTGAAGACCCCCTACGCGCAAGCGAATTATTGAAATAAAATTGAACCTTATGTTAGTTCCGAAATGACCTAGTTTGTGTCGAGTGGACGTCTCTCTCTCTCTCTCTCTCTCTCTTTCTGTAATAGGGTTATGAATTATATCAGCAATGGTTTCCTGTCCATTGAAGATTGACGTATATATAAGAACAACATGTTTCGTAATCTGATTAGGAGATCGTCTAAACCTTCCGTTTTTGTTTTCGTATTCAAATGTTAAAAAAAAATCTGTTTTGTGCTTTTTATTGTGTATTAATCCTGGAAAGTCAGATATTGTTGACAGAGACCATAGGAAATAGAATTATCTTATCAAGTCAATACGTTATATAGATAAGTTGATTATGTCGATCATGAAGTCATTTGAGTATTCATTATATAATTTGTTTACTTTCCAAAGAAAAAGGAAACGCCAGGGAAATAATTCATATTACACGCTTGGCCTGACAAGAATCGAATATCGATAGGGATATTGGATCTAAATCTCATTATTGGCGTCTTGTTTTGGTCTCTTGTAACAATAATACCGAACAAGTGGCTTTCTAACCTTCAATACTTCAACTGGAGGTGTTGGTCGCGAAAGTTTCTTAGGAATCCACTGTGTGGTTTCACTTAACCTGTAATGTAGGACGGAGGGCCTTACTAGCACGGCCACTGGTCGTTCTGAGGTCCCGGGTACACGTTGGCGTGTATGTAACCAACTCATTGATAGTTGGATGTCAATTGCCGTTGAGGATAAATTTCCCCCAAAGCCCGGTGTATCGCATCGTCGCGTCTTTGAGTCTAATGGCATGGTTTTGATTCACGGTGTGGTTCTCGTGGTGTAGAACGAGGGGCCTGGCAAGGGACAACTTATAGTCGTTCTGATGGGGCGATAAACCGAGAGTCTGTGTACACATTGGCGTACATTTAAAAGATCCCTTGACAGTTGGAATTCGATATAAGAGCGGGCCTCATAGCACACTGTATGGTGTATGCCCGTATTCATTATCCCATTCGGGGCAGAACAGTAGGACGTTAAACCCCATTCATTTCATTTCGGTATCGACATACAACCTCAACATTAACATTGGCGTTAGACGTAACGTTTTGATCGAACTAAATTAACTGCTTACGATGTATGGTAAACTGTTTGTCCATCTTGCCAGATTTTCTGGCGTGGTTTCTCCTTGTCAGTGATGCAGGACGGGACGAAAATCTGAGGTCCCGCGTACACATTGGCGTGCACGTAAAAGATCCCTTGACAGTTGGAATTCGATATAAGAGAAGGACGTAGTGCCGCTGCCCGGGCAAAATTTCCCTCATTGCACACTGTATGGCGTATGCCCGTCTTCATTAGCCCAGGTTAGGAGCAGAACAGTAGGACGTTAAACCCCATTTCATTTCATTTCATGTCCATGTTTCCAGGAGGGTTTGGGTGGCCGAATGGTTTAAAGCATGGCGTGATTTCGATTCCCGTTTTCTCCCACTGCAATATTGTAATACAATTGTACCAAGTGCTTCGCCAGTGTTTTTTCCCCACAGATTTCACTCAGAAATACCCAGTTTATTCAAAAGTACGCGCGGAACTGAGCATGACGTCTTCGTGGCAGTCGCTCGTATCGGAAATGGTCGAGACTTGGTCCTGTAAATTTGGAAGAATGTCGACCGAAGAAACAAACAAAAAAAAAGACGCAGATTACCCATTGTATGGTTGAAAACAGTTCATAATTTCGTTTTACTTGTCTTTACTACTACACTAGGATCTGGGAGAGTTGTTGTATAACCTCACATCTTCATGTAGTGTAGGCCATCGAAAGTATACATAAAAAACGAAACGAAATATAGTTCTTATAGTTCTGTATTCTAATCAGATTGGGTTAAAATATACACCCGAGAACGCTTGTCGTGTCTTGAAGTATAATTTACGATCGTATTACCCAGTTAAATCTTTTGCAAACCTGATCTCGTTTCTCTACCGTTTTTATAATAAATACCCTTCGGAATAGAATTAATTTATGTACTTGTAATAATCTAGATTGGGGCAATATTCAACACAGATAGAATAACGTAGATAAAATGTCAATTTAAAACAGATTTATAGTTATTACCACTCTTTAAACCCTAATAATTCTTTGAATATTTATAGCGGAATTTCTGACACATTCCAAGATATTTATTCAGCGCAGAATAGCATTTATTGATTTTGCTTAAAGATACATTATGTAAGATTTAGATAAAGAGCTGACCCTTCGCGCGTGCTATAATAGTTCATATATAGATAATGAAAAATGAATATATTTATTTAAAAATTGTATTCAAATTACATTATTCTGACCAAAAATATCACTGCTTCAAGTTTTGACAGGGTGAGGGGGGGGGGCGAATTGTTAGCATATCATAAGGTCTGTCACTGAGTCAACTGGTTCCGATTCCCCGTTTGTACGTGACAAGGATTAGTATCGCCTGTCCAACCTCTTGGGTTTTCTCCTGGTCCTCCGGTTTCGTCCCACTGCTAAAAAACCCCTACGCGCAGGCGAATTATTGAAATAAAGTTGAACCATATGTTAGTCCCGAAATGACCTAGTTTGTGTCGAGTGGGCACACATGTGCGTAGGGGTCTTTAGCAGTGAGAGGACACGAGTGGACCCGGAGAAAACACGCGAAGTTGGACAGGCGGAGTTAGATCTTACATAATGCATCTGTAAAGATTAGTTCTTTTTAATAATAATTAATTTCTCGTTACCCACGTTTTGACCTTTCATCAGCCATACAAATACCTAGACTATAAAAAGCTTTAATGTTTATAACAATATGTTCACCCTTGGTGGAAAAATAAGACGAATAACAATATGTATGACACGAGCTACTCGAAGGTGTTGAAACATTTCATGTGTGTCAATAAACTATGTTTAAATCAACGGTTTAAAGAGAGAGAGAGAAATGGGGTTTAGCGTCCACTTGACACAAACTAGGTCATTTCGGGACTAATACATGGTTTAATTTTATTTCAATAATTCGCTTGCGCGTAGGGGTCTTTAGCAGTGGGAGGAAACCAGAGGACCCGGAGAAAACCCACGAGGTTGGACAGGCGACCCTACTCCTTGCCACG